GGGGGGGGGGGTCTGATGTCTGGGTGGGAAAGGCACTGCCATGGGGGCTGCAGCTTGTGAACCCTGGAGGCCAAGGAACAAAGGTCACTCCACAGAAATCAGAGCTCAGAATGAGAAGAGGCCAGGAAAATATATACAAGGGCGGCAATCAGAGTTTTTAAAAAGCTCGGGTAGGGGTGAGATAACCTGAGATGATCAGATACTTCGGGCAATGCAGCCACACCCCTCCCCTCGGGGTCCTCAGTGGAGAAACATAGGTACGTGTCAAATTTCAGGGAAAAATTGGCTGAATTATTGCTTTATCACCTTCTAAAGCAAACAAAAATGACTCCCAAGAAGAGAGGTCAGCGATGCACACAGCCCCGCCGAAACGATAAATACCAGGACGGGGGCACTTAAGAATCGGAACTGCTGATCCTTCGAGAGGGAGACAGAACTGGCCGAATAGAGAATCCAGATCCCCAGCCCCGTGGTGCTGCCTGGGACGCGAAGAGAGCGGGACACAAACGGTTTCTTCCTCCCTGGAAATGTCCTCGTGAAGGAGGCCTGCCTGGGGTGGGCGGAGGAGGGACTTCCACAGCCCAGGCGTTTTCTAGAACCGGGGGAGGCGATCCAGCCTGGCCCCGTGTTCCCGGAGCTGCGGCTGAAGTGGGCAGAAATGCGCATTTTTACATTAAACAACAACAACAAAAAAAAAAAAACCACAACCAAACCGCCAGCATGGACATTTCTGGGCAGCCTGGCTTCTTTCCCAGCCTGAGCTGCTGTCGGGGGAGACGTGCAGGTGCTCGAGGAGGGAGCCCCTCTGCCCGATCCGATCCAGGGAGCGCCTGCGGGCGGGGGCGCGGGGAGCGCTCTGCACCGACCGGAGGGGCCCAGGCAGGTGCCGCTGTGCAGGAGGGACGGCAGCAGAGTGGCCTCGTCGTGGGGGTTCTGACAGTTAAGGCTTCTGATCATTGGACGTGGCAGTGTCCCGTCTGGAAAGGAAGGAGAGTCCTGTCAGCCGGGGAGCAGTGGCCTGATTTCTCTCCGCCATCCGGCCCTAGAACTCTTCCTGGCTTTCCCCCGATGGCTCTGCGAGCCACAGGCCTGGAGACATGAAGTGGCTGTTTCGTTGTTGTTGTTTGTTTGTTTTTAAGGGGTGGGATGGGGAAGGAGGAGGAAGGCCAGATACAGTGGGATGAATGTGACACCGAGAGTCAGGTCAGGGTTCCAGCCTCGGCAACCTCACCTGGATCTCTGGAGGCTTAGCTACGGTATCACCTGGGCACCACTAACACAGGCTCAGTCCCTGATCCCGAACCCCGGAGCGCAGGCTTACTGCAGAATTTAGATTTTGGGGGGCAGTTTATGATTCACAAATATACACACATACATGCATAAGGACACATATATGAACATTATGTGACATATGGTGCAACACCCCATAACCAGGCACACAGTATGCCTGCAGTGTCCTGTCTGCATGTCCCTAGGAGGTGGGGACACGGAGCCTAACAGCACTAAATCCATGCAGGGCAGGTTTGTCTCTGGGGGAGCGACGGGACGCCTTGCTGTCCGAGCATCCTGGGTTTCAGTCTGTGGACAGGAGCAGGTCTCCCGTGCTGCTCACATCAGAGCTGACTTTTACAGGATGTGGACCGTGCTCCCATCCCTGGGACATACGGGAAGCACTTGGGTGCATCCACAGCGAGCCCTTGGGACCACTCGGCCACGTGGACGCTGTCACCCCGTTTTACGGATGGGGAAACTGAAGTCCAAGATGTTTGGCTGCTTGGGACCTACACCAGGGCATTTCGAATCATTTGGTTTTTTTTTTAATCTCTTCTTTTTAATCAATTTTTAATTATACAGGGAGTATATAAATGTAAAGGTTGATAACTTTTCCAGTTAAGCTGATCTTGACGTCCTGCCCTCTCATTTTATAAAATGGGACTGAGACGCAGGGAGAAGGGAGGCCAGAGCCCCTGTCATCTGACTCCCTGCCCCACCACCCCAGCTGGTCCAGCTGTGACTTTATCCCCAAGAGGAGACAGATGATTCCACGCCCTTTACAGGAACCCAGAACACCCACACCCACGGTGTTCCTTCTCTTTCTTAGGGTGCAACATCCCAAATCTCGGAACCTTTGCCTTCACACCCAAGTTCCCTGACCCCCGGATTGCAGGCTCCGCCCAGGTCTCCCCACCAGAGGCCCTCCATACCTGGTCAAGCTTGGTTCTCATACAGGCTTTGCCTCTTCTTAGATTTTAGCTCCTTTAGCCACTGGGGTGAGGGCTCTTCTGATCTGAAACCACAGAGCCAGTGAGAGTCAAACACACGTACACATAAGACCTGACTGCAGCTGACCTCAGAGAAAGCCCCTGACCCCGTGGATCCTGGAGGGCTCAGGGAAGCTGCTGACCTGGCTGGGAGTGGGGAGGGGGTCTGCAGGGAAGAAAAGGCTCCCTGCACAGATAGGGGTCTGGGGCACCCCAAGCAAGCCTTGCCTGATGGTGGCGGCACAAGACCAGGTACCAACCAGGTCTCCAGTGGTACCTCGGAGCCCTGGTCTCCTCCAGCCGGGATGCTGACTCTGGAGCCAGGCCTGCAATTCTGGCGTCCCCCAGAGCTAGAAGGGACTATCTCAGCGTGGTCTTGTCCCTCTCAGCCTCTGGTCCTTCTGTTTCCCACAGCCCACTCTGTGCTCTGTTAATACCCACTCCTTGCAGCTCCTGGCAATATCGGGTCTCCAGGCCTTTGCACATGCTGTGACTTCAGCCTGGGACCCCTCACGCTGACCCTCTGTGTGCACCATGACTCAGCTCAGAGGTCTTCTCTTGGAAACCCTTTTCCACACCCTTTACGAATCCTTCGTCTATGACAGGAGTCAAAGAGCCAGACTGGAAGTCTCTTTGGAGGGTCATAAGGTGTCTGTTACAACCAGTCAGCTCTGCAGTTGTATCAGGAAAGCAGCCGCAGACAACCCATAAATGAATGGGTGTGGCTGTGTGACAGTAAAACTTTATTTTAAAAAAAGACAATGGGCTGAATTTGGCCTGTGGGCCATAGTTTGACAACCGTTACTCTACCACAGCACTTATTATATGACAAGGCCAACATCATGAATAATCCCTAACTTTTACATGTTAACAGGACTCATAAGAATCCCACATTTTTAAAAAAAGAATTCTACTATCCTTTATTGAGTGTGTCTACAAGCCAGTGCAGAGGGCTTCACCTATTCTTTCTCTTTTCATCCTCATGACCACCCTGGAAGGCGGGGTGATTAGTCAACCCATTTTACAGATGAGGGAAGTGAGGCCCAGGGAGCAGAGTGACTTTTCCCAGGGGATGCAGCTCCTAAGCAACACAGCTGGGAGGAAGTCCTGACGGTGTCACTTAAACTGTGCTCTGCACCTCCACCCCCAGCTGCTGCAGTGCCCGACCTGGGAGCCCCAGGGGCAGGCGCTGTGCCAGGCCCACGTCTGTGGGGAGCAGGCCTGGCCCAGGAATGGGACAGTTGCTCCACGAAGGGCGGCTGAATGGAATTAAGTTTGTTTCATTCAACATGGCTGTGCCCTTTGCTCCATTTTCCCAGGTCTCCCCTATTCTGCTGAGACAAAGGCACATCCTTGGAAGGCAAATGCCTCAGTTTCCCCATTAGTCTGAAGAGGGCTGGACCCCATCGGCAGTTTTGCAACCATGGGGCCCTGGATGTCCGTGCAGGATGTCACCTCATCCCCAAGACCCCTCACCTCTCGTCCTTCTCAATGCTCGTGGGCAGCACACGACTGCCCAGCTGGAAGGGGGACTTGGGGGTCTTGGGCTGGGGGGTCCAGCCGGCGGTCTCGCTGGGACTGTCCACCTCTGGCCTCTTGTGCAGCTGAGCCTGGGGAGAGAGGAGCCAAGTCTGTAACCACCTGTGGTCTGGGGAAGGGTCCCATCCCAAGGCACTGTCATTGCACAGTGAGGACAGGGCCTCCACAGGCGGAAATGCAGGGGAGGGAGGGAGGGGGGAGGAATCATGGGGCCTGTTCTTTCTGGGTCTTCTGCCGCCAGGTCAAGAGTGGCTCTGGACGTGAGGTTTGGTACCTTTAGCACAGCCGGGTCTACGCCTGGAAACACAGGCATCCTCTGGGGATGGCCAACGGGGGTCCTCTCGGTCCTCTTCTCCTCCTCATCTGACTCCTCTCTCCTGGGCGATTTCTCATCTGTTGCAAAGAAAAGGGAGCTGACGTCATCGGCAGCCCCCATGTACCGAGGCCTGTGTTCCAGAATCTTTGCGCATAGACCCTCATGCCATCTTCACACCAACCCTGACAGAAGGCGTTACTGGCCCATTTTACAGATGAGGACAGACGCAGGGGCTTGCTTTCATGATCTTTCTTCTCTACAACTCCTGCCAAAGGATGTTGACAGTAAGGCAGGACGGGTCTCCTCCTGGGACTGGGCATAGACAGGCTGGCTCCTGGCTCATTTCTAGTCGGGGAAATAGAAGGAACCCTTGGGCGGAGGCAGGAGAGGAGCCAGAAGTGCTTTCAGCTCATGATACACTGGGGTCATGCTCTCAGAAGAGAGGGGGAGAGACTCCTGTGTCTGTGGAAGGGCTGCCTGGAGCTGGACCAAGAAGCCACCCTCCTTCACCCCAAGCCCCCCTTTCTGGGACTTAATCCCATAATCGAGCTCCAGCCTCGTAGGTGGGACTTCTGGGAGATAGACTGCTTGTCCCCACTCTTCCAGGTGTGAGGGTCAGGAGTTTCAAACAGGGAGGAGTAGGGGCAGGAGGCAAGGCCTGGTCCTCTGTGGCCCTGGGCCAAGCAGGAAACTGGGGCATGTTCAGAAATTGTACTCCCAGGCCTTCCCCAACCCCTGGCTGGCTCCCCAAGGCTGCTAGGAATCAGG